CCCACATGACTAAGCTAGCTAGTTACCTTAGAGCCTTTACATGATGCAGGGGCCAGGTTGTGGGCTAGCATTTTGCCAGCTATTCCAAAATATTACGGTATTCAGGAAGATAAGAGCTGGGACTGCCTGCAAAAATCTATGATTCTGCAATGTTAGTCATCAATGCTATTGTTAAATTTGTACATACCATAATATAGCAGCCCCCAAATGATGGACTATTTAAAACTGTGCAAAACTCCTATAAAGAACAGTTTGACAAGAGCCATACAAGCTCTCAAGATAAAGTGAGACCCCAATAAAACGACAGAGTTCTACAGCTCAGTTGTAACAGCTTAGAGGACCTATACGTCTGTTACCCTCATCATTATTTGTTCAGTAGAGTTCTCTCAGAAATAAATATAAAGCTATGATTAAGAATGGCTGATGTGCAGGAACCTATAGGAATAGGGTATGACTGGCAAAATGCCCATTTGTATGGAGAAGCACTTGAAAACTCTTCAGAAAGAATTATTTAGTACAGAGGAAAAGCAATGCTCAGTTTTTCAGATACAACCACATTCATGCCTATTTGTTATGGTTTTATCTTACTTTCCATATTTAAATTTGAGATTTATTTTCAAGACAAAATAAATCAAGAATTACAATTAATTCCATGATGTTTTGATTTCAGTTGCTTCACTAGGGCCTTGCTCCTATGTAGCTAAAGTTTTTGTAATCATTTAATTCACAATACTTTTTGGGTTCACTTCCTGCAGTGGCAAAAGTTATGTAGAAACCAGTGAAAGAAATGGAGAAACAAAAACCACAGCTTAAGACAGAGAGTTGATAGTAGTCCACTATGCTATTTAAAGCTTCATTAGTAAACCAATGGCTTTTAATCACTATTAGAGCAGTGTTTGGCAAAGTGGCACACTCAAAAAACAATTTTAACTACCACTGCATTAAAATACACAGGCCTCATCCTGTGCCTTCTACAAGTACCATCTAGTCTGGCCTATTTCTTTTTGCACTTCTACAGTATGGAAAGAAATACAAACATATTTCAAAATAATATCATTGATACATAAATTTAGAGTACACATACAGTATGTACAACAATATTTTCTACAACATTCTTTTAAAGTCAATGCATAGGATATTCATTAGTCCCTGACAGGAAAGCAGGAAAATAAATCTTTGGGGCTATTCATCTCCCTACATGCACATTCTTAAATACTGATACTCTTGACATGTTCATATGAGAGAAATCCTCCAGGACTCCTGTGTAACCCCACACCCTTGGATTCAGTGTAAAATTATAAAGGTTATAAATATTGCAGTTTAAATTGGTCTTAAGTAAAGGAAAAGGCTGATCAATTTTCTAAAAAGGACTTCACCTAGGTAAATCAATGCCATACAATGCCCCAGGAAAATATCAAATAAGGACAGAATATTCATACAGCTTCTTCATTTCAGAGTAGGTTTACCTCCATTCTCATCAAAAGTAAGCATTTCATATGAACTCACTTCCCAGGGAAATATTTGTCCACTATACATTTGATTGAAGTACACCTTCTTGAGCTCACAATAAAATATTCCCTGGGGGTACTCATGTACCATTTTCTAAAGGGACATGGAAGAGTACTTCAAGTTGATCTGTTTCAGTAAGATGATGTTGGGATAACTTGTTTAGGTACATGTATCCTTTTATGCCTGGTAATACACGAAGAACATGCATCAACAAAATGGCTAAGCTGAGAAACCCAACAGGTTTTCATAAGACATCATTGTTAAAAAATGCACTGTCCACATATGTACAGGACAGGCTCCAAGGGACCCCAGTAAGTGATCTTCAGAAATCAGAGGAGAAAGGATAGTTGGTAATAGTATGCATAAAAGAGAAAACGTAAATTTATTTGAGGCGCCTCCGCCTTCATTCTGTAGCCCTTGGCACCCTCCCAAAAACTACTCAAGAGGATCAGGAGACTTTCAGCCCCTTATGAAGGGGTAAATGCAGGGCACAGATAATTTATATAAAGAAGGAATGGCATGGGATATGGTCAGTGGACTGAAACTGGATGGGTAATTCTGATGAAATCACACTCCTTCCCCCTTGAATGAAATGTATTCTACTCTTACTAGCAGCTGTTTAGTTACACCACTTTGTATCATATTAATCCATTAGGTATTTGTCACTGTCCAGTGACACAAGGAACAATTGAACCTGAAAGTTTCTCATTATGGGATGGAAGGATGTGAGGCAAGATGAAAAGATGAAATCTCGGTCACACATCCTATCTGGCAATCAAAGACACAGTTTGTTAGATGTCTTGCATTTCATTCCAAAAATTACAAATACAGTGATAAAGCTGATACAAAACACTTGCAGAGCAATTACCACACTTCCATCCTGAACTCAGACATAAAGAGTATTCAGCTTTGTGCATGCCGGGAAATGGGAGCTGCAAGGCTGCGTTCAGGCACACAAATGAAAAAGTACTGCATTGTTTGTGGTCCATAACATTACAAATGGAAAATGAGAAACAGTAAGGAAGTATATAGAAGCATATGTATATATATTTATAAATATTTATAATATATAATTTACCATGAGAACATGCAATTATTAGTATAGCACCTATTATACAATATAATACAACAGAATAGATCTTTTAAATCATACAGTTTGAGAAACAGCAGGTAAGCTCACCCTATTGCATTCCTCTGTAGTGTTTGAAACCCGAATGCAGCTAAGGTTCCACACTGTGCTACATTACTTATGGAAAACAATATACACATTTAGGAGTAAAAAAATTCAACACATTCTGACGGAACAGGTGAAGTTCAGTGCAGTTTCAATGCAGCATTAGAAATGCATCAGCTCAGAGATAAAGTATTCCCTTTTCTATCCAAAGATACTATTTTGGCAGCAAATGAAATTAAACAAAGTTAATTTTTTTTAAAAGTATGCTGGCTACAGGCACAGAACTATAACAAGCAGATCAGCAATTGTCAACATTCCCTCTCCCCCACACCCAATATCCAGGGGCCCTGTATTCAACCACTTAGTTATAAAGACTTAAAAGCACTTGAGTTTTCTTACTGGGGGCTGCAATTTCTGCACCTCCGCAGCCCACTGATCTCACTAACCCATTCCTAAGGGGGTCAGCAAAGCATCTGGAACAATGCAGAGGACTAAGAAGAAGCTTGCAGTGGAAGAGTGAAATTTTTTTAGCAGAAATCACTAAACTTCCTTAAGAAAACATGTTCCCCTAAGTCTTTCGAATGTGTGGTTGGATACAGGCCAGTATCCCCTAAAACAAGTACCCCTTCAGGGAGGTGGCTGTATCCATTTTAAAATATTTCTTTTTAATTCTTTCAATCCATTGTCCACTTCTAGATGTAGCAAAGGAAGTTGTTCCTATAAGCATTATACAATGAAGCTTAAGTATATTTTGGGAAACCTATCAGCCATTGACCTCATTCAGATATTTTTGGACAGTGGAAGACAACCCTAAAACAAGAATCCACATTATAATGTCCCTAAATGCAGCCATATTTGTGAGTAGGAAAATACAAAACCTATATTGTAGGAAAGCCACAGAAATATTGGCTACCAGCCTCCAAATAAGCATGTACAACAGCTTGGTCAGATACTCAGTAGCCATATTTGCAAACTGAGGGAAAGGGCAGGCAAACTTGCAGTGGGAAGGTGAAAATCAGCAGAAATCACTAAACTCCATTTCACTACAATATAGGTTTAGAGACACTGTCCTATGAGAAATAGCCCCATCATTTGCCTTATGGATTTTACCATCAAATATTCTCTCACAGATTCTGAAAAACAAAAAAGGAATTATGTCTTCCTAATCATGTACATGCTCTGAGTCATCTTTTAAGCAGGTTAAAGCTTCTAGATTTCATTCTCAAGTAAAAAGTCCAAGTGTGTAAACATTTTTACTCTTCTTCAGCATTACTACATTGAAGAAGGGCATTATGAATAAAGTAAATGAACTCATCCCTGATGAGTAAATCCTGGTCAGCTTTAGCAATGGCTCTCATTCATACCCTGAGAAGCTTTTGTACTCTCTAACAAATGTTGCACCTGCAGGAATTCTTCAGGGTCCAAGCTCTCTCTTTTTTCTTCTTCAACTCAGGCTCTGACCATTATCCCCATTATATGACAGAACTCTGGAGGAAAATGCCATGGCTCCAGCAACTAACACATAGACAAATAATCACGTTGTCTTAGGCTCAGGGCCTGAACAGCAGTTAACAGATCATGGGCTAGTAATGTGAATACACAAAATCCTTTGCAGAAAATCTTAACATTGATGTCTGCAGTCCTGTGTGCACCTAAATAAGTTTTAAGTCCATTGGTATCAATGAATTTATATGCATTAACTGTGCACAGAGTTGCAACCCATGTCAAATATTTTGTAATAAAAAACAAGGGATTTGTTTTGTTTAATTGCTTGCTTTAAAAGGAGGGAAACATAAACCATGACAGAACATAAAAAATGAGCAACTTGGTAACAGATGTATGAAGCCCAACATTAAACATTCAGACATCTAAGAATATTGCTGTTCCAAACAATGTGCTTTTTAAAAACTCTACAAACACACAGCTGAGTAATACCTCAGATGTAACGGCGTCATGGTGAAACTTAATTGTTTCAGGTTTTGTAACATTCCTTGAGAAAAAGCCTTAAATAATTAGGCTGTGTACTGTTAATCAGCAACAAAAAAGAAAACTTGTTTAAAAAACCCCACTCACCTCAAGGACAATGTTTGTTGTGAATGTTTCACACATCTTGGACAATCTGGATACTCCATCCCTGCCCTTTAAACCTCCCTGATCTGCTTGTTGCCTGGCCACTCACATACCAAGTGGGCCTTATAATTTATCACAGAGTTGCTTTTCTTTGAAAGTCAGGATGAACACTGATTTTGAAGACTTTTTCTTTGTTTAAATACACAGTACACAGACACAACATGCATCAGATTAAAAAAGGGGGCTTTGACACCAGACAAAACTCAGTTCCTATCTGCTAAGTTTACTGGCTGATTTGTTCTTTCCTGTGGGCGATTTAATGTTAGAAGAGTGGTGGCAGGAGCCACTAGAACCTTTCAGACCATTCTTGCTAGATTTGTTGTAGCAGTGCTCTTGTTGGCAGGATCTCCTAGATGATGAAGAGCCTGAAAGACTAGGAGGCGATTTACTCCTTCCAAGATGTGGAGACGAACTCCTCTGGTCATGATGAGGTCGCCCACTCCGGGATGGTGAGGAACTGGCAGTACGGGGCAAAGAAGAGCTCCTAGGAGAGGCACTGGGACTGCGTCTGGGAATGACTGGGCTTTTGGGTGGTGTTTTGGAGCTATGTGGAGATCCTGGACTCTTACACTGGGAAGAGCTCCTTGGTTTTTGAGATCCATTCTGAAGTATTTGAGCCAGACGAGAGATCAGGTCTGAATCTGAGCTGCTGCTTCCTAGCACTTTGTATCTGCGCAACCTTGGGAAAAAATGGAAATAGGTTACTTCTGCATCCTGCTCTCCAGTAACATGATATTACAGTACACATAAATTATGAGCTATATTCAGGAATTAGTCCATTTCCAGCAAGGTGCAGAACTTAGTATATAAGCACTCAATGTGGCATTCCAAAAGCAACTTCCTAATACTGACAAATGTTGAGATAAAACTTGAGATGATACAGAAGTATGCTATACAGGACAACTAGTGGTCATTGGCTGGCTATCATGGGAAGTGGTTCTTGGACAATGACACCACCCGTTGCCTAAATTCAACATACATCCAAAATATTTTTCAGAGACTTAAATGCAGCATGATAGAGCTACTGTTGCCTGGAGTTACATATATTAATAAACATGACCAGAGACCACAGCAGAACCATATAAAAAAACATCTTGATGTGTGTGGCACAGGCAGCCAAGGCTATATCATCCCATCTTCAGATCTCTGAAAAACTATTACCTATTCTCATTCCTTTCTCTGCACCCGTGTCATTTAGTACAGATACATCTATAGCACAGCAGGCTTGTCTAGTTGTAAATTTATGAAAGATTCTAAAGTATGCAAAGGCCTACCTCAGACACATAAGCTACTTATTCGATTGAATTTTTTTTGCAAACCACACAAACAAAAAAAGCAAACAGAATGGTTTTTTTCCTCCAATATCAGTGCCAAAAGATACATGGTGCAGTGTAGCCTGAATTGAAACTATACCCATATACACCAAACCTAGCACTAATTTGACCAGAAATATGTACTTACTCTCTGGGATGCTACTACCAATCATGCTAACTATAGCAAATAGATGAGGCTCATCAGATAAATTATGTTAGTAAACAACAGTTGACTGGCTGTTCATATGAGTGAGTAATTATTGGCATCTTTAATTTGTACCTTTTGTATGCCATTCAGACAACTAGATGTGAATCTATCAATGTCATCCTAAATTCTGCTCAGGTTGGTGGGTACTGTAAATCTTGAACCAAATATTTTAGAGATGTCCAGTGCAATCTTAAGTGTGTTTACACTTAAGTCGGTCCTACCAATTTCAACAGGACTCACTCCCCTGGTGAGTGTGTGTATAGTAAATAGCTCCTGTTTAAAGTTAGGATTCCACAAAGGAGTTGCTCGTGTTGTTGTTCAGTCAAGGCATTTTTGAAATTTAAATGGGGAAGAATGTGCAAGAGTTCGTGTTTGTGTGTACACATGCTCACAAATTACACATCTTGGAAGAAAATTGCATTATATCATAACTCTTTCCAAGATGTCTCAATTTTATTCTAGAATGGGGTTTTTGTTCTCTCTCAAATAATTCTCTCTCAAAATTATTACCTAGCTTCTACTCCAGGCCTGGTTGGGGGTCTTCCTGGTGGCGGGCGAGGAAAAAACTGAGCTGAGTTTGGATTGCTAACATGATCTGTGGTAGTCCAAGATACAGGTCTTGGAATTTTGCTCTTTCTGGACTGAGGACTGCTTGATGACAAAAAACTTTCCTCCACTTGAGTACGCAAATGAGTGTCCAATGTCAGCTTGGAAAAGGAGGAAAAAACATCTTCAGAAAGTGGTAAAGGAGCAGTAGCTACTTTTTCATTCAGTGACTTGTCAGAGGCACTTGAAAGGTCACCAAAGAAAGATTTCAGTTGTTTCTTTTCTACAAGTAGTCTAACCAAGTCTGTCTGATGAGCCTTTTTTAGAAGTAGTTTCTCTTTTGCTGAAACAGGTGAAGAGGACTCTGATGAGGAGTCTATTTCTTGTGCTAAAACTGGAATGCGACTTTGTCTAGCTACAAATGGTGTTCTAACTAATTCCTTCTTAGACTGATGAGAACTCTCATTCTCTGCAACGCAGTGGAACAATTCTCCATTTCTTAGAACATTTTGCTCTCCTCTGTCCTCTTGACATAAAAAACTGGTGAGGTTTTCTTTTTGGCATTGCAGTTCTTCAGCATGACTGATATCACCATCATAATGGAAACCATTTTCTTGCATTGGAATCACTTGGCTTTCTTGTCTGTGAAGAAATGGGTCGGTACTTCTTGATAAAGAAACATCTGATGTTTCACCTACTGACTGCTTCAATACCTCCTGTTTTGCATCATGATTTGGCAATATGCAAGAAGTTACTGGCCTTCGCTCTTCAGGTTCTGTAGCAGCCTGCAGTTCATCCAGCACAGACTCAGTGTTTCCTAGAGCAACAGATCCTGTTCTTTGTACTTCAACGCTATCTTCACAAGTTTCAGGAAGTTTACTGTTTTTTGCTTGTTCAACAACATTTACGAGTTCTTTCTCTCCTTGCTTCTTCACACACTGATCAAGAAGATCCTTTTCGCTGTGATCTTGGGTTCCAACACCTTCTCCACTATATCCTTCCTTATCCTGTAAGTTATGGTCTAACTTGAGTACTAAATCTGTTCTACTACCACTAAGAGTTAATACATCATTTGCTACCACCAAGCCAGCTAAATTCTCCTTAGGAGAAGAAAGTTCAATAGTATGCTCCACAGGCCGGGTATCTCGATCCTTCTTCTCTAGCTGCTGGCCATAATGAAAACTCTCAGAAGCAGACTGTGTGGAGGCCATAGATGGTCTGGGAATTGTAACCTATGTAGAGACAAGAAAAAGAAAATTAAAGGTAGTTTTATAGAAGTTACTTTTCTAGGCTTTGAGAATATGAAAAGTTCATATAGTCAAGTCATCTTCACATATGAAGACGTAAATTAATAGTTAATTTCGCAGGATTAGACAACACCATCCCCTCCTAGGATGTGTATGGCATGTGCCAAGCAGCACAATTTTTATCAAGCACATTTATGACAAAAAACTCTGAAAAACCTGCTAGCCCAGGTTGCTAATTTGGGCTTTCTTAGCAATAGTGTGAATGTCTCTCTGCATGGAAACAGCTTATCTTAAACTGCCCACACCAATCTCTTCACTACCAATTCTATAAGTCTTTACTCTGTCCTCAGCTCTTGACCTCTGTGCTGCCTTTGAATCTTAATCCAAAGGGAAACTGGAAAAAATGCACTTAGCCAGACATGTTATAATAATTAACAAAATCCAAAGGAAAAATCACACAGAACCAGTCTTCATGGACATGATACTAAAGAGTTCTTTATGAATGTAGAGCGTTTACGAAACTCTCCGGAATGACGTTCCGTTTCATGATGGAAACTTCTGAACCTTATACAATCAAAAATATCTATATATCTAATAGCCAAGTTGCCCCCTCTGTGCAGATATCTAAATCCGCACATCGGGGGCACCTGGGGGGCAGGGAGATTTTCCTGCACACTTGGGGCAGTCCCCAGGTGTGCAGAAAAATCTACAAAGTTTTAAAAACTGTACGGGGGATATTTAAATCCCCCCAAAAGTAAGAGCATTCCGTGCGCATGTGCAGAGAACGCTCTGGGAACTCTGCGGCGGGCTGGTGGCTGGGAGGCGCTCAAGCCTAGCTGCCGGGGGGGAATTGGCGGGGGGGAGATCGGAGGGCCTGGCGGCTGGGAGGCGCTCAGGTTTCGCCACCAGTGCCTGCGGGGGGGGATCGGGGGGGATCAGTGGGCCCGGCGGCTGGGAGGCTTCATTCATCTTGCTCAATGAAGAGAATAATTTATCTCTTAATATGCCCCTGTGGATTGAAATATGTGGGAGAATCGTCACATGCAATCAGGACTCGGTGTTAGAGAACAAGTCCCACTTTAAACATGGTAATTTGGAAACACCACTTGCCCTGCATTTCTCTGAGAGGAACCACAGGTATGACGATTTTAGGTTTGTAGTACTGGAGGTTTTTCATGCAAAAAAGTACAACAGATCTGATGTTAAAAAGTGGTTATTACAAAAGGAAGCCTTTTGGATCCATAAGTTAAACACGTGCCATCCGGATGGCTTAAATGGATTTTTAGATCTATCATGTTACCTATGAATAGTTCCTTTTGCTGTATACATAATTAGTTGGTATCTCCTGTATTCTGTTTTGAAAGGTATAGGTATGTAAATAGTAGGAGGATATGTCCCTCTTAGACTTGTAGAGATGTATATTAAGAGAGTTATTGGCTGCACCTGTTAAGGCTGCCTAATGTGTTGATTTCTGTCCAGGATAAGTGTATGAAGCAGAAGAAGAAGAAGAAGAGGAGGAGGAGGAGGAGATTGGATTTATACCCCGCCCTTCACTACCCAAAGGTGTCTCAGAGCGGCTTACAAACTCCTTTCCCTTCCCCTCCCCACAACAGACACCCTGTGAGGTAGGTGGGGCTGAGAGAGCTCTGACAGAAACTGTTCTTTTACAAGAACAGCTCTTATCAGAACTACGGCTTGCCCAAGGTCATCCAGCAGGTGCAAGTGGAGGAGGGGGGAATCAAACCCGGCTCTCCCAGATTAGAGTCTGTGCACTTAACCACTACACCAAACTGGCTCTCTTTTTATAGCTGGTGGGCATTTTTACTGTTGGAAAATACTTAGTAAGTGTTATGGAATTGTATATTTTAAATTGTTACTATAATATTTTGTAGAAATACCATGATGAAGAATCTGTCGGTTTGAAAGACAAACGATAGTTACATTACAGTGACACACCGTATGTATTATCTTTTATTACAAAGTTTATAAAAATTGGGTACATTATTCTTATAGCATAATTGTTAATAAGATATATATTTTTGATTGTATAAGATTCAGAAGAAGTTTCCATCACCAAACGGAACATCATTCCGGAGAGTTTAGTAAATGCGCTACATTCATAAAGAACTCTTTAGTATCACATCCATGAAGACTGGTTCTGTGTGGTTTTTCCTTTGGATTTTGTTAATTATTATAACATGTCTGGCTAAGCGCATTTTTTCCTAAGCATAGTTTGGGTCTATTGTGTTCCTGTAACTGGTTTCCATCTGTATGGCCTTTGAATCTTAAGCTGCAGATGCCCAAAAATTACAGTGCAATCCTTATACCCTACTAAGTCCACTGAATTCAGTAGGCTTGGAAGGGTGTAACTATGCTTAGGAATGAACTGTTAAGCACTCAGGTTTCTGACCTTCTCTTGCTTTCCTTAAACATATTATCTGACAACACTGTCATCCACTTTGTTGAACAGATAAGAAACCATCTTCTGCCTTGACTATTGCAGCCTCCTTTTCTCTGGCCTTCTCTTGCCATAGTGAAGTTTTTTCACTTCAAAACTCTGATGGCCAAGCATTCAATTTTCTCATCCTTCAAACAATGACAAATTCCTAAAATGCCATCCAATCCCATTTAAGATCCAGCATAGACTTCCTGTCCTTCATGGGAATGCTCCTCCCTAGTTTTTTTGCTTGTATCTGCCAACATGACCCTGCTCATGACATTAGCATTTCCAATTCTACTACACTCAACCATCCACATGTCTCCATTTGAACAGTTCCACAGTAATTTACAAGGTAGCATGGGCAGCCAAAATGATGGCCAAACTCTCCTGTGAAGAAGGAATCTTGCAAGTTTTTAGGGACGCCCACAAGGCAGATAAGACTTGCTGCATTGTTTCCAAAGAAGACTGGAAGATTAGAAGCTCCAGCTCCTGAGCATAGATAGAGGCAAGAAAAGCTGCAGAAGGGTCCAAAGGTACATGCAGTAGTAAAGGCAGAGGGGAGTAGCTTCAATTAGTAAAATGTATTAAGCAAGCACTGGTGCCAGACAGATTAATGGTGTCATATAAACAAATTATTGTAAAAAACTGCTATTCTAATTGATCAGAAAAAGACAGCACTCTGTGAACGATAATATCTTCCCACTGAATCTCTGAGATATGCTTGCAAAGTAGATACACAGCAAGAATAAAGATGAAAAATCTTATTAATCTATTGAGAGATCCAAAAATGCTTCTGCTGGACTTACTGATACATCAGGACCACTGTTCCCTCTAAGCTGAGTTAGTGTGAGCTAGCTCACACTAACTCAGCTTAGAGGGAACACTGATCAGGAGTATGGTTTTATATTGTCTAACTGCAGCTAAAATGCTGGTTGCAAAAAACTGGATTTGTGCTAGATATTTAAATCTAAAGTCCAAGTTGCAAAAGATTTGGTTAACAGTAAAATTATCTAAGCTCCCTGACATGGTCCAGTTAAGAAAAGGAAAAATAAGGAAGCCAACATTTTTTAAAAATTGGAAACCATTTTATGATTTCTGGTTCCATGAGTTAAATCTGTGTAGACTGGTATAATTGTGCAATTTTTTAAAGTTCTACAATTCTATAAATTGTTATACTTAGTAATATAAGTAGTTACTAAGATTTGTCATGATAATTATTTTTGTAGTAATTGTGGTAGCTTATAATAAAAACACATCTTAAAAAAGAAAAATCTGACTAATACACACATCAGTCGCCATTCTAGTCCTTGAAATGCTTCATTCACCCAACCTGATTTAAGTGCTACACAGCAACAAAAAATGTCTATTATCTTCTCTAAATCTTGTGCTCCCAACTTCTCCTTAGCCAATTTCACATTCACCAACACCCTTTGACATCACTCCTGAACATGTTTCTGCAATCTTTTGCCCAAATTAGCCTCACAACTACTTTCCATAACTTCTTCAACCACTCTTCCATCTTTGTAATTCTCTCTGCCTTCTAAACCTCCAAGAAGAGCCACCTCTCCAACTTTTTTGTTACTGCAGCTATCTATTAACCTCTAATAAGTCTGAGAGTATAAATCTCTCTCATTTGTACACAAAGACCTTCCATAAGCAAGCAAAGCATTTTTTCTGAGCAATTCGCTATTGTTGCATTTGTAAAACATTACTTGACAAGATAACTTCACTCTGTAGACACAACTGCAAAAATGAAGTCTAGAAATGTGCTTTTCTAACAATTTGACTAAGGATGCATGGCTATGCATGAGATAGAGTAAACATAGCTCCAATAGTGATGGGAGAGAACTTGGATAAAAAATAATGTGTGGTCTTTGCTGCGCTCAGCTTTAAAAACTACAGAATATCCATCAAGTATTTAATGCAAAGATACAGAACAGGAAGAGGTAAAGCTTAGAGAGCAAGTTTGGAAGCCATCATCATAAAGGTATTAGCAGGTGTGAGAGTGAGAGGGAAAGGATCAAGGAGAGAACTTGCAATTCTGTACGGTCCCCTAATTATGATGTAGATATGTCTGAAAAAGTTAGAAACATGGGGTTGGATCACACAGTCCATCAGCAGAATGCACTGATGGTTGCCAGTCTCCTGTCTTTCCCTTCCAGTGGCCAGTCTGACACTGAGAAAGTTTATTCCCTGGGTTACAGAACCCACAAGGAATGATAGCCATGGGATCAGGAGGCTGCAGTAGAGATGGTAAGAGGGCAAAATCATCTGACAGAAGAGGAAAAAGGGCGCAATTCCACCTCTCTCCACTGCAGCCTCCCAACCAACATGGCTATTACTCCATGTGAGCCTTGCAAGCCTAGGAATAAACCTACTAGAGCTGGAAATGGCTGCTGGGGGAGGGCAAAGCGGGGGAAATTGCAATTCCTTTGATATCCTTGAACAGGCCTGGTGCTGGACGAAACCTATACATTTTAAAAAAAACAACAACAGGCACATAGGCTTGGATTCAGTGGGATGTTTCAGTGGGCAGAAGGATTTC